GGCCTTGAGACCCAGTGATCCATCCAACATACTTTGCTTACTTCGTGAAGGATTGACTGGGGAGGGGGAACATTTATTTAGCAGTTGTACATCTCTTTATTAAGTGGCCAATCTCTCTATGCCTGTTAACTCTCTATGGCTGTCAGGGATCCCTCCTCTGTGCAGCCATATATCGGTGCTGGATCCCCTCTGGCAGCGGCAGTGTGAGTGGGAGCGTGCGGGCGCGCAGGAGTGTGCGAGTGCGCGCATGCGCACTAGCGTACACGTCACCGCAAGCGGGCTATTTAAACCTCCAGTACAGTTTAGCCTATGCCTTCTGGTCTATAACGTTCTGCACTCCATAACCTGATTCTGTTGCCTGTATCTGATCTGACCCTGACTAAGAAAGAACTCTGCCTGCACCGACCCCGGATTGTCCCTGACTATCCGCTTGCCTGCTCCCTTGTAGTTGATTTGCTCGTTTGATCCTGACTCGGCTTGTCTGACTCTGCTGCACATACTTACCTGCTGCTGCACCTACAATCCTGCACCTGGCCTGCATCTTGGTTACCGCCATACCTGCCTGCTGCCCCATCTATGCTCCTGTGTCCCTTCCCGGTCTGCATCCTGGTTGCCGCCATACCTACCTGCTGCTGCACCCACATTCCTGCATCCGCACCTGGCCAGCATCCGGATCTCCTGGGTCTTCACCTGCCTACCATCAGCTCCAGACCCACCCGGCACTCGTGCCACTCCTGGCTTTGCGCCCTCTGTTCCCACTATCAATGGCTATCCCTTCTTTACCGAGAGCTCTCAGCCTTAATTGGTATTTAATTGGTCTAATGTGAAGAAAAATTACTATATACTGTATATGCTATTTGGTTTGAAATATCCAATTGATCTGTAGATGTGATCGTGGACAATTTTTAAATAGGTTTATGTACATGTTTAATGTGTCTTGGTTTTTAATCAATAAAAGATATTAGTGAAGTCAATGATTAACAAGAGAAAAGACTGGCAGAATCTTTGTCTCTTTTATTTTTCATTACCGTTCCGGGCACTTGGTTTATGTTTGCATTTAGGCCTGCTGTGGGCAAGTAGCAGGGCATGATAGGTGCAAGCATTGCATTGCCGCCCGATTGCTTCCACACATGCTGAGAAAGTGCACTACCCCTTCCCGCGCGCGTGCCCACCAGCCGCTGCTATGTATCCTGGGCTCCACTTGACCATCTGTGGGCCCAGGTCGGGAATAGTGGGCATTGCCGGTTAGAGGGGAGGGAGGAGAGCGGACACATGTCTCCCCTTCTTGTTCCTGACCTGGAAAGCAATGTGTATGACGTCACTTCCAGGTCCCCAGTGACAGTGTCCCTGGCCGTCGACCTGGAAAGAATGTAATGCAAAGTGATCTGCACTGCATTACATTCAGAGAAGCACAGGGGAGACATGCAGGGTCTTTTAGAGTCCCCTAAAAAGTTCTGGAAGCTAAACTAGAACTGCAGTGGTAGATGGGAAATCTTTTAACAAGCACGAGACACTCCCTGTTCTTTATTGATGAAGGTACAAAAGAGTGCAGTGAATGCCCAATAGATGGCTCCATACTCAACTCAATGATGTGAATACAGAACAGTCTCTTTATCTGCGCCAAAGCTGTTTCATGGTCCTCAGTTTCTTAGCCTATGTTTATTCTGCCTCATGGTCTTCAGCAGTGAACCGTGGACTATTTAAGTCTGCCTATACTAGTGCTACTGCTGCTTAGGGTGAGTCTTCCTCTACTAACAATATATTTTGTTTGGAATGTCCTACACCACCTTAAAGTGGAGTTCCACCCAAAAGGGGAAGTTCCGCTTTAAAGATTGGCCCCTGTTGCCCATTAAGGATTGGCACCTTTGGGGAGTGGAGGGGAGTGTGTACCCGAAACTGACAGGTACCCGCTCCCACTTCCTCTGTGATCGGAAGCGGAAGTTGTCCTCCCCCCTCCATCCCCGTAGTCTTGTGGAACACGTGACAGGTCCCAGAAGACTATGGGGCCATTCAAGAAGCACAGCGCTACTCACACATGCGCAGTGAGCACCCGGCTGTAAAGCCAAAAGCTGTCACAGCCGGGTGCCCACACTGAAGATGCCGGCGCCTGTAATACAGAACGACTGGTAAAACGGCTGTGGCGGGGGCACCGCAGGATCATGGGACAGGTGAGTGGCTGTTTTTTAAAAGTCAGCAGCTACATTTTTTGTAGCTGCTGACTTTTATTCTTTTACAGTGTGAGTGGAACTCCGCTTTAAATCCCCACCCCAAGTTCTACTAGCGTGGGTGCTGTGTGCCTGGCTGCCTTGCACTGTTTTGGAAAAGAACCTGTTACACTCAGCGGCTCCTTTGGGGGTTGCGCTACATACATTTATACTGCAAGGAATTTTTTAAGGAATTCAGTATTAATCATTCAACAACAAGGCATAAAAAAATGAATAATATGTACAACAAAATGATCCCCATATATGCAGCCAGTTAATCCATACAGTCTATGTATGCTCTATTTTTATATACTGTATCTTTTTTAACGTGCAAATTTCAGATCCACTTTAAGGAGGTTTAAGATTTTGTTAGTCTTTTGCTGCTATGATTAATTGCAGCTGCTAAAATGTGTATCATGGGTCTTCTGGCCTTTTCTTTATAGTACTGAAGGCTGTATTCAGTACAGAAGCCTAAGGCTCAAGCAGCCTGGCTTTTGACCAGAACTGTGGGTGAGTTCCGCTGGAATTTCTTTGAGGGCATAAGTGACGACTGTGCAGTTCAAAGAAAACCACAACCATATGCACTGAAACCTGACGAAACCTGACAAGACCTTTTTATTTTCGATTCCTAACAAAAAGGCTGATCAGCCCAACATATTCTTGACAAAACACTTTGTTTTTGCTGAACTATTTCTTAACCGCAGACAATGAAAGTCCCTTTAGTTAAGGGGAATATATAAACATAGCAAAGTGTGCAGATACCAATACTAGTCTGAGACCACTAGTGTAGATCTTGCAGAAAGAGGAAATGGTGATAGGGCTCCACTGAGTCTAGGGTTAGTGGCAGGTATTTACTCATATAAATATAGCTTTCTATTCTCACCTTGTATTGGAAGTAACACCTGATTTGGGTGCAGACTTGTCTGCTCTTGTGTTGGCATTGACAACCTTCAAAACTGAAATCTTTCTCCTGCCATATGTGCTTCACTTTCAGCTGGTGCCACTCAAATAATGTGAATAATTCCATATGCCACAGGAAGGAGCCAGCCCTGTGCAGGGTCACAAGACACACCAACATTTGGAGGGCTCTCCTTACTAAGCATGTGATGACTAACTGCACATAGTAAATGGTAACAGTCATGCATCTCCTAAAACATGCTTTGTTCTCAAGGCACAAGATAAAATAAACTCTGAGACCTGAATTAGAATTAGGACAGAGTCAAGAGGCATCTTGTGCCCCGGGCTGTGTCTTGTAGTCTCGTGACATCTAAACAAAAAAGTCTTTGATAAAAACATTGCTAAACTCCCAGCCTAGAAATATGGCCATACTGGCTCTGATTGCTCAGTAAGGAGCCCTTGAAAAACTCAAGCATTCCTGTTTTACCTGGTAAAGTTGAATATATGATATGAATCATGCACAGATCCTCCACCAGTGATGGATATATGGGAGATACTGGTCCTGAGATGGTGAATTTATAGAAAGGACATGTATATTCTGGGTGTCCTCGTCTTTAAAAACCAACTTTATTTAAAAAAATCTAACATCTCAGTTAGGCCCCTTCCACATGGAGCAAAATCCTTTGTAGTTTGCTAGCTCAGAGGGGGATCTGTCCGCAGATCCCTGCTAAGCAAGCAGATGGCTGGTCCGCGTCTGCTGCACTTATGCAGAGTAGATAGACACAACCCACTCTTCTCTATGGGCAGTTGGATGTTAGCAGACAGGCGGCCATTTACATACGACTGTCATCCCATCCGATCTGCTAGACAGATGGGGAACGGATCCATATTTGTCTGTTTTTAGCAGATAGGGTTGGATTGGATGTAGGCGGTTACAAATGGACATAGAGGAGACTAGAGGGTCCGATCAGGTCCACCTGAAAACTGGACATGCAGACCCGCTAGTGTGAAAGAAGCCTTAGTGTTAAGCCTTACAAAACACTTAATATAAACACACTTTTTTCTACAAAATAGTTGTTCCTCCTGGATGGTTCTGGTCTTCTGGTGAGAACAATGGAAGCATTGCCAGGGAGTATTTTGTGGTCTCTGTGGGAGATAAATATCTATAAGTGTTAAGCAGCCCATGAATCATGTCCTCACTCTCCCCATATACACAGTCAGTGTTGATGGAGGAATCCCTCCTGCAGAGCTATTGTGTTCAGCCAGCAGGAAGCCTTCCAGCTGGCATGTGTTCCCTCTCCTGCCTCCTACCTATCCTGCCTAACTTGTATAAAAAGATGTGTGTACTTACCTAGTTTTAATTCGCAACAGTCTAGTCGAATGATTCTGCAGCTTTGACTCCCCAGTCAGTGAGAAGCTGCTGCAGGGGAGAGGAAGAAGTGCTGACAACAGTTGGGTCATGGGAGCCTATGGGTGAGTTCACAGCTATTGCCAAGCGATCACTGAACTGGAGATGTTGGATCATGCAATTGGACCAGAGCAGAATACAAATAGGTGGGTATACAGATCTTTTTTGTACAGGTTAAGCATGATAGGTAAGTGGAGGGGGAGGGAACATTTTTAAGGCTTTTTTTTCACTTTTACACAAATACGCATACACTATATTGCCAAAAGTACTGGGACACCCCTCCAAATCATTGAATTTAGGTGTTCCAATAAACTCCATGGTCACAGGTGTATACAATCAGGCACCCAGGCATGCAAACTGCTTCTACAAACATTTGTGAAAGAATGTGTCTCTCACAGGAGCTCAGTGAATTCAAGCATGGTACCGTGATAGGTTACCACCTGTGAAATGAGTCCATCCATGAAATTTCCTTGCTACTAAATATTCCACAGTCAACTGTTAGTGGGATTATAACAAAGTGGAAGCAACTGGGAAGAACAGAAACTCAGCCACGAAGTGGTAGGCCATGTAAAATGACAGAGTGGGGTCAGCGCATGCTGAAGCGTACAGTGCACAGAAGTCGCCAACTGTCTGCAGAGTCAATAGGGAAGAGGATCTCATTTACGCTAGAGACTGGCCGGAATTAGTTATGTATAAGAGGTACATTGATGACATTATTCTCCTCTGGAATGGAGAAGAAGAATCTCTGGTTAACTTTTTTACTAGCCTCAATCATAACAAGCTCAATATTAACCTTACATTTACACACAGTCGATCCGAAATTAATTTTTTAGATCTCACACTGATTAACCTTAATGGTAAAATTGTGACAAAATCTTTCTTTAAAAGTACAGATAGGAATAGTTACATTCCAACCAGCAGCTATCATCACCCTAACTGGTTGAGTAATATTCCGAGAGGTCAGTTTATGCGCATCCGACGCAACTGCACAGACATGGATACTTACTTTGACCAGGCTATGATATTAAAGAAAAGGTTCCTAGAAAAGGGTTACCAGGAGAATATTCTGGACAACACTATACAGAGGATTGCCCAATGTGACAGAAAGGACTTGCTATCTGATAAACCAAGATCAACAAAATCAAGAATCTGCCCCTTTGTCACAACCTTTTCCATGCAGTTTAGACAGATTGGGGGAATCATAAAGAAAAATTGGAACTTATTGAAACTGGATCCCACACTGTCTAAAATTTTACCAGAAAAACCGGAGATATTTTCCGGAAAGCGACAACAATCAGGCACCAAATCGCACCGAACGTAGTAAAAACCCCCCGACCGGCACCACATTTTTTTGACGAACTAAAAGGGTTTTACCCTTGTAATAAGTGTGTCATCTGTAAATACAATGGTATTAGGAAATGTAGAACTAACACCTTTGAATCGTTCACAACTGGGAAACCATACACCATCAATCGGTTTATTTCATGTAATAGTAAATTTGTGGTGTATCTCCTGCAATGTCCATGCCACAAACAGTATGTGGGGCGCACGACTAGACGACTTCGTGACTGCTTAAGGGAGCATGTAGCCAATATAAAGAAAGGCTACAGGGAGCACTCACTCTCAAACCATTACAGAATGTTTCATAATAATGATCCCTCCTCCCTTAAGTTTGTGGGAATAGATGTAATATCACCACACTGGAGAGGAATGAATAAAACCAGAGCCGTATCGCAATCAGAAACTAAATGGGTCTACGAATTGGATACCCTGTACCCTAGGGGACACAATATCGAAATCGATGTGAATTGCTTTATAGCAAATAATTAACATCCTGTACATCTATTAATATTTTATAGTCATTTTTTAGTTATGTTCGTGGTTTTTATCTATTCAGGAGTGACTAAATATGGCCTTTTACTTGGTTCACATATTATCATATCTATTCTATTCATTTTATGCTATCTTATTCAATCGTTTATGAATAATTTTCAGCATTTTTACATAGGAATATTTTTTTCCCCCCCTTTTATTCACTTTTATTGGAATTCTTCTATTGTGGTTACTACTTATTGCTGTACCCTGAGCACCTTTATATACCATAGACATATTGTTTTCCCTTGAGAATTCACTAGTTGGTGAATAATCATTGAGTAGGGAGTTTCGCTATTTACGATTGCCTCCCTGGGACTCAGTACCACTATTTAGTGGCATATAAGCGATTTGATGCGCTTAAGATCGCTGTCATAAATTTATTTCAGCTATCGCTTTTTAAATTTACTTTTGTGGCAAAAAGTGGTGTCTCAAAATGCAGCTAAACCCGTCCTTTCCTTTGATGGTGATGATTATTGTACATTAGAATTGGTTTCTGTTCTTTTATATTTTTATATTTTAACTGTACATTTTATTGTGTATTTTATGCTATATTTTAATTAGTTTTACAGACTTGAGTACCCGGAGCACCTCTTTAAGCCGTGGGTATACTAGCCTTTTTTCCCTTCATTTAACCATCAATTTGGTGTTGCACTATTTGGAAAGTGGCTTATAGCTGTTTTTTCCTTTAAAGGAAACCGGGGTTATTGTACCGAATGTTTTCCCCCTGGGATTAGTGAGCCACTGCTTCTGACTCACATGCACCGTTCTTTGTGCTCTGTCAGCGATGTGTAATACACTTCAGCTGACAGTTTTCAATATCCACGGCAAAATGGCACCCAGCCGCGCGCGCATGCGCAGTTGCCCGGTCTCTTAGAAAATGGCGGTGAGTCAGTGCGCATGCGCGACTCCCGTTTTTCATTATTTAAACTCCTGGCGTCCGTCACAGAGCTGTCAGTGTCCCCTCTGATGATGTGCCTTAGCACGAAAGGCCTCAGGAGGAACTGACAGCCTGTGACGCCTTATTTCCGCCCAGACCACGAGGAGGTCTGGTGGCTATCCTACTACACAGGGTTAGTAACATTTTTTTTAACCCTCTGTTTCCCTGCATTTTATTCCTGGCATTTGCCAGCATCTGCACAGATCTACCCTGCACTAAGCTTGTTGTTAATAAAGTTTTTGTGACATACTACACTATGGGTACTCTTCCACTTTTTGCCCCTCTTTGAGGGCTCAGCAGACACAGCTTCCAATTCCATATTACATCCAGAGGAGGGAAGCCTTCACTTGGAGGGATTCTTTATCCGGCTGATCTATCCTGATCCTGAGGAGGTCTTGTGAGCCCAGCAGACTATCGTTTGATGACATTCCTTCCAGAGGGAGATCGGTGTCTGTGGGATTTAATACACACATGCGCATTTCCTATGCGCGGTCGGTGAGTGCGCATTTTCGCCATTTTTGGATTCCTCATAGCTGTGCCCACCTTTATATCATATTGATGAACTAAACGAACATTTGATAACTTAATGTGGGATTGAACTTTTTAGATCGAATTTTACAGATCGATTTCTCTGCTTGTTGATTTTAGCGCTGCACTTTATTTATTTTAAAGACCTCCAAACTTTGTGTGTCCTTCAGATTAACACTACTACAGTATGTAAAGAGCTTCATGGAATGGGTTTCCATGGCCGAGCAGCTGCATCCAAGCCTTACATCACCAGGTGCAAAGCAAAGCATCGGATGCAGTGGTGTAAAGCACGTTGCCGCTGGACTCTAGAGCAGTGAAGATGTGTTCTCTGGAGTGACAAATCACCCTTCTCTGTCTGTCAATCCGATGGATGTGTCTGGATTGGTAGGAGAATGGTACTTGCCTGACTTCATTGTGCCAATTGTAAAGTTTGGTGGAGGGGGGATTATGGTGGGGGGTGTTTTTAAGGGGTTGTCCTTGACCCCTTAGTTCCAGTGAAGGGAACTCCTAAGGAATCAACATACCAAGACATTTTGGACAATTTCATGGGAACAGTTTGGAGATGTCCCCTTTCTGTTTCAACATGACTGCGCACCAGTGCACAAAGTAAGGTCCATAAAGACATGGATGAGCCAGTTTGGGGTGGAGGAACTTGAGTCCTGACCTCAACCCAATAGAACACATTTGGGATGAGTTAGAGCAAGAGCCAGGCCTTCTTGTCCGACATCAGTGCCTGACCTCACAAATGCGCTTCTGGAAGAATAGTCAAACATTCCCATAGACACTCCTAAACCTTGTGTACAGCCTTCCCAGAAGAGTTGAAGCTGTTTTAGCTGCAAAGGGTGGGCCAACTCAATATTGAACCCTACGGACTAAGACTGGGATGTCATTATAGTTCATGTGCGTGTAAAGGGAGGCGTATCAATACTTTGCCAATATAGTATATATCTGATGCTAGGTCCACATATAGTAAATTGAGTCATGCATGGAATACAGCACACACTGCACATTTCAGCCAAACTGCAATTTGAAGGATATGCTTGTTAGTCTGTGGCTAAGTTATGCATTTAATAAAGACTAACATTCTCCCTTGCAGTCATTTTCCAAAAGTAATATGCAATGTATTTTGTTGATTTAAAGAAGTAAAGCCAAAGCTCGTTTGGCTGTGCTTCTACTGTGGTTCACAGGAGTGCAGTTCGTTCTACAGTCCTGAGACCTGTTTTCAGCTGACAGTGGGCTAAAGACTTCACTCAGCTGGTCCAGGCTGGGGAAAGACATGCCATATGGTCAGGATCTACCCCAGAATCTGGACCAGCATGTGGCTCAGCCTCTCAGCGATCCGCTGAGAGCCTGAGACAACCGCTCCCTCTCCCCCTTCATAGCCCAGTGCTCGAGTGAGTGGTGGTGGAGGGGGCAAAGCAGACAGCGGTGACTGATAGTCACCTCTCTGCTGAGAGCGGCAAGGAAAAATGAGCTATCAGCAGCGTCTGATCGCTCAATTCTCACCCTTAGAGCCTGTGGGGGACTGATGCAGCAGCGGATCAATGCTGCATCCACTTAGGTGAGTATGATTAAAAAAAAAAATTTCCATTCTACTCTTTTATTCATATTCATATTTCTTCAATTGCTTTTTTATCTATCTATCTATCTATCTATCTATATATATATATATATATATATATATATATATATATATATTTTTTTTTATATAGACTTCACAGAACATTGCCTGTTTTCTACAGGGTGAGCAGCACATCAATAGCTGCTCTATATGGAATAATATAGAACTGAGGAAGCATGAGTCAGTGTCTCATTAACTGTGTATAAGTGAGCTTTGTAAGCAACAGCCTTTTTCAGCTAAGAAGGTGAGAATAGCCTCATAAATATGTGGAAAGAATCCAAAAGCTTCTGGCAGTAAATCATAAGAATGAAAAATAATATGCAATATTTCTTGTTCACCTGGATACAAAGCAATGAATATAATGTGACAGGGCTGCATTGTGTCATGGTGTAAAGAAGATATGGTGTAGACCAGGGTTCTCAGCCTTGCTTGTGGAGGAGCTCAGGATGTATGTTTCATACAGAGGTGTCAGGGAAAGCTTGCCCATAGAGAATATGGTACTCTGGAGCGCATGCTCATGTGGAGGTCAGTAGACAGCTTGCATGTGTGTGCAGAAGTGGAGCTGTGTGTGTGCATGTGCACGTATGTTCCTGTGCCCGCACGTGCGCCTTTCACTAACACTGGCATCCAACAGACTAAACAGAGCTGCTGCACTGATTCATTGCTGTCTGATC